TCATCTCCTATTCTGTATCCTGTGCCTGGCCTCCTGTTTCCACTGCCTAGTTTCATTACTTTGCATTTACTCGGGTTGAACTTCAACAGCCATTTGTTGGACCATTCACTCAGTCTATCCAGGTCATCTTGTAGCCTCCTACTATCATCCTCTGTTTCAATCCTCCTCATAATTTTTGCATCGTCGGCAAACATTGAGAGGAACGAATCTATACCCTCTGGGAGATCATTTACATATACCAGAAACAGTATAGGTCCAAGGACTGACCCCTGCGGGACTCCACTTGTGACGTCTCGCCAATCTGAGGCCTCACCCCTCACACAGACTCGTTGTCTCCTGTTGCTTAGGTATTCCTCTATCCACCGGAGTACCTTCCCTCTCACTCCAGCCTGCATCTCCAACTTTCGCACTAGCCTCTTGTGTGGTACTGTATCAAAGGCTTTCTGACAATCCAAAAATATGCAGTCTGCCCACCCTTCTCTTTCTTGCCTTATTTTTGTTGCCTGGTCGTAGAATTCAAGTAACCCTGTGAGGCAGGACCTGCCATCCCTGAACCCATGTTGATGCTGTGTTACAAAGTTCCTTCGCTCCAGATGCTCCACTAGTTTTTTTCGCACAATCTTCTCCATCAGCTTGCATGGTATGCAGGTTAGGGACACTGGCCTGTAGTTCAGTGCCTCCTGTCTATCCCCTTTCTTGTATATCGGGACTACGTTAGCTGCTTTCCAAATATCTGGCAGTTCCCCTGTTGCCAGTGATTTGTTATACACTATGGAGAGTGGTAGGCTCAGTTCTCTTGCTCCTTCCTTTAGAACCCAAGGGGAGATTCCATCTGGGCCTATAGCCTTCGTCACGTCCAACTCTAGTAAACACTTCCTTACTTCCCCACTGGTAATCTCAAACTCTTCCAGTGGTTCCTGGTTAGCTATTCCCTCACTTACCTCTGGAATTTCTCCTTGTTCTAAGGTGAAGACCTCCTGGAATTTCTTATTCAATTCCTCACACACTTCCTTGTCATTTGTAGTGAATCCTTCCGCCCCTATCCTTAATCTCATAACCTGTTCCTTTACTGTTGTTTTTCTCCTAATGTGGCTATGCAACAATTTAGGCTGAGTCTTTGCCTTGCTTGCGATGTCATTTTCGTATTGTCTTTCAGCCTCTCTTCTCATCCTGACATATTCATTCCTAGCATTCTGGTATCTTTCTCTGCTCTCCAGTGTCCTGTTATTCCTATAGTTTCTCCATGCCCTTTTGCTTTGCTGCTTAGCTAGCCTACATCTTTGATTAAACCATGGGTTTCTCATCTTCATTTCTCTGTTTTCCTTTTGGACTGGGACAAACTTGTTTGCTGCGTCCTTGCACTTCTGCGTGATGTAATCCATCATATCTTGGGCCGTCTTTCCCCTGAGCTCTGTTTCCCATGCTATATCTGTTAGGAATTTTCTTATCCCCTCATAGTTTCCCTTTCGGTATGCTAACCTTTTGGTTTCGGTATCCCTCCTCGAGTTCAATAACCCTTCTTCAATCAAGTACTCAAACACCAGTACACTGTGGTCGCTCATTCCTACTGGGTCCTCAAAACCGATTTCTCTTATGTCGGAGTCGTTCAGAGTGAAGACTAGGTCGAGTCTTGCTGGTTCGTCATTTCCTCTCATCCTTGTGGGTTCTCCGACATGCTGGGTTAAAAAGTTGCTTGTCACCACCTCCAATAGTTTGGCTCTCCACGTATCCTCGCCTGCATGCGGTTCCTTGTTCTCCCAGTCAATCTTTCCGTGATTGAAGTCGCCCATGATGAGCAGGTGGGATCTATTTCTACAGGCAGCAGAGGCTGCCCTCTCAATTATAGTGTTAACTGCCTTGTTGTTGTTTTCATACTCTTGACTGGGTCTCCTGTCATTTGGTGGAGGGTTGTATATTACTGCTACTACTATTCTTGGTCCTCCCATTGTTATGGTGCCTGCTATGTAGTCTCTGAACTCCTCACAGCCCGGGAGGTGTGTGTGTGTGTGTGTGTGTGTGTGTGTGTGTGTGTGTGTGTGTGTGTGTGTGTGTGTGTGTGTGTGTGTGTGTGTGTGTGTGTGCTGGTGTTCCGTGATCTGATGACACTGCTGGCCTGCAGAACATACGTGACCTTCCGGCACTGGTCGACCCCCCCAACCCCCACCCCCCTGTGCATCGCAGTGTGTCGTAAATGCTTTATCTGTGTGGCGGCAGCAGGAGAAACACTTAAAGAAGAGAGAGAACTTTGAACATATGCTGGTGGCGTTATCTGGACCCCCGGTGGAAGTTGGCGAGGGAGGGGGAAGGGGGCGGCGGGAAGGAGGAAGAGGGAGGCACGCGGGAAAAGACAATAGACGAGGGAGGAAAATGGAAGGGAAAGGTGAGGCAGTTAAAGAAAATATGCGACGGGAAAGGTGATGGAGGCGGCCAGGTAGTGGGTTGATACAGGTGGTGGTGTGAGGTCAGGTAGTGAGGGGGGAAAGGAGGGAATGCAAGTGGGTTGGGGGTGGGTGACGCAGGTAGGTGGGTGGGGGAGGATAGGTGGGTGAAGAGGATGGCGTCTAGAGAACTGCCAGAACGCTTAGTCTCGGCTGTCAGGCCCACTGTTTGTTTGTTGTCTGGCGTGATGTTGTTTTTGTTTACATAGGTAACTAACAGTACCTATTAGTCTGGTAACGTGTACATACATATCGTCCACTTTGATGTTGATTTTGCGTAGTACAGGTTAGGCAATACTCCAGAAAATACTTCTTGGAAAGTTTTTTGTCTACTTCATTTTCGCTTCTGGTGCTGGCGTTGCTGATGGTGCTAGTGCTGCTACTGGTGTTGCTGGCGCTCCTCCTAGTGTTGCTGGCGCTGCTACTGGTGTTGCTGGAGGTCCTCCTGAGGGCGGTGGTGTTGGTAGAGGTCCATCTTCGTGGTAGTGCGATGAGTGTAGATATTCGTAATGGTAGCAGTGATGAATACCGTGAAGAACGCGAGGGTGGAGAGTTGGGCCGTGCCCTGCATGCTCTGGTGTGAGCGAGCATGTATGGATAGGTGTGTGGGACGCTGAAGAAAAGAACAATGCTCCGTTGCTCTATAGTTAACCAGCCTGGGTTTGAGGCTCGCCCGCCCGCTAAGGTACAAGATTACCGGCAGATAGTTGCGCACAAATTATATATATATTATAAATATAATATGAAAAGGGATTGGAGTGGCAGGCTTCCTCCTGGAGGCTCCAGGCAACTCCCTGCGCCTCTCAGGACCTGCCGGCGCCACAGGGCACCAGTAGCGCGCGACACCTGCTGGTGGTGGCGCCGCATGTCACTGGCTGGAGGTTCGCAGTATCTGGTGTTATGAGGAAAATTCAAGTGGCGTGTCTTCCGGGTAGTGTGAGTGGCACTGTGGCGTAAACAGCGCAGTTCATGGCTTGGCCGCAAGGTGTCGGTGGTGGTCACACTGGTGCTGCTGCCTTTACGGCTTCTCCAGCAAGTTAAATGTGTTCTGTTGCATTTCAGATGATGTGAAGAGTCCAAGAGACAGTATTGAGGACATGCAGTAGGATCGAACTCGCGTCCCTGGATTTCCCCCCTCAAAGGATGCGAGGGTGATCATGTAACATGGCCTCAATATTGATTCATTTCATGTACGTGGGATTTCGTGTACGTGGTTCCACGCCCACGGGTATCCTCTCGTGTGTTGTGAGTGTCTTACCTGTGTATCATGTGTGTTGCGCGTGTCTTTGCGTGTGTTGCAAGTGTCCATCCGTGTCTCCTGTGTGTGGCGATAGCTCACCCCGTGTCTCCCTTGTGTGTAGCGAGAGCTCACCCCTTGTCTGGGTGTAGTGTGTCCGTGACTAGGTGAGCGAGGCAGCAAATCCCCGTGGCTTCAACCCGGCACGTTCCTCGAGGCTGGTGGTTGCTCCGTGTCAGTCAGAAGAGGTCCACTTGTTTCCTGAATGGCTGACAGCCACTTTCTGCCGTGTCGACCACCTACCTACTTTATGCCCGCACATTTGAAACGGGGAAAGTGACGACGTTTCGGTTCGTACTGAACCATTAATTAAAATTTAGAGACTGCATTCCTTACGTATTCGGATGTCTTAGTTTGCCGTTCTTAAACTGTTTTTAAGTTACAAGGTGGTTCGTAACACAAAGAACCTTGACCCGGATTTACGAAGCAATTACGCAAGCACTTACGAACCTGTCTATCATTTCTCAATGTATGGCGGCTTTGTTTACAATTATTAAACAATTAATGAACTCCGAAGTACCAGGAGGCTCTTTTATAACAATAACAATAGTTGATTGGGAAGCTTTCATGCTTGTAAACTCACTAATAAATGTAACCAAAGCCGTCAAAGATTGTGGAAAGATGTACGGGTTTCGTTAGTAGACACGTAAATGCTTGAGTAATCTTGACCCAGCTGACTGACTATCATCTAGGATGGACGTTAGTAACTGCCAGTTGACTGACAAGTCATGGAGTACATCAAGAACTGTCACCTGGCGACAGTCTGGTTGATTGTAACCAGTCACGTCCTTTCCGATGACCATCTTTGACTTTGGTTATGCCATTTGTTGGTGTTGATGACCTCTCTTGCCGTTGATGAGGGGCCTCGTAGCCTGGTGGATAGCGCGCAGGACTCGTAATTCTGTGGCGCGGGTTCGATTCCCGCACGAGGCAGAAACAAATGGGCAAAAGTTTCTTTCACCCTGAATGCCCCTGTTACCTAGCAGTAAATAGGTACCTGGGAGTTAGTCAGCTGTCACGGGCTGTTTCCTGGGGGTGGAGGCCTGGTCGAGGACTGGGCCGCGGGGACACTAAAAAAAAAAAACCCGAAATCATCTCAAGATAACCTCTTGCCGGTTTAAGGTAGTTACTGTCCGGTAGCTTGACGTTCTGCAGTAGTCTTGTATAGCAGGGTTTTGTTAAATGTCAATATGTTGGCGACTCTGACGCAACTTGTAATGAATTTATTTAGATCTTAAAGCAGCCAATGACGCCGGAATTTGCAGTCAGTGAGGCGACCACTTGCAACCAGTGACGCAACCACTTGCAACAAGTGGGACAGTCACTTGAAGATGTGTAACGTTGAGCCACTTCAACTCTGCCGCTTTACCAGCCTCGTCTCTCACGTGCTGGGTTCCAAGTGTTGACAAGGCGAGGGTGGTGGGAGCTCCACCCCACTCGCGTCGCCATGACTCCTCCCCCACTCCTGTCGCCATGACTCCTCCCCACTCGCGTCGCCATGACTCCTCCCCACTCCGGTCGCCATGACTCCTCCCCACCCCCGTCGCCATGACTCCTCCCCACCCCCGTCGCCATGACTCCTCCCCACCCCCGTCGCCATGACTCCTCCCCACCCCCGTCGCCATGACTCCTCCCCACCCCCGTCGCCATGACTCCTCCCCACCCCCGTCGCCATGACTCCTCCCCACCCCCGTCGCCATGACTCCTCCCCACCCCCGTCGCCATGACTCCTCCTCACCCCCGTCGCCATGACTCCTCCTCACCCCCGTCGCCATGACTCCTCCTCACCCCCGTCGCCATGACTCCTCCTCACCCCCGTCGCCATGACTCCTCCTCACCCCCGTCGCCATGACTCCTCCTCACCCCCGTCGCCATGACTCCTCCTCAACCCCGTCGCCATGACTCCTCCTCACCCCCGTCGCCATGACTCCTCCTCACCCCCGTCGCCATGACTCCTCCCCACTCCTGTCGCCATGACTCCTCCCCATCCTCGTCGCCATATAACTCCTCCCCACTCACGTCGCCATATGACTCCTCCCCACTCACGTCGCCATATGACTCCTCCCCACTCACGTCGCCATATGACTCCTCCCCACTCACGTCGCCATATGACTCCTCCCACCAACGAGGGAGTGGGAGGAGCCATGGCGTGCCATACCTGCATGATCACTTGAGTGTGTCTGCAGTCAATACAGTGACAATACAGTAAGGCTAATTTTAAATAAAAACTACACAAAAGCAAATATTGGCTGTTGTAGCCTAGCTCCGCTTTCTTTTTTTGTTTATGTGGCGATGGCATTATTGTTGCCCTGTGACTGCTGTGGCTCCTGGGAGCTGTAATTCATTAAGCTCATAAGGGTGAGACTGTACTGTTTTAAACACGTGTGAAGGTAACATAAATGCAATTCAGTAACCCACCATCCTTACCCCTTCACACCCCCCTCCCAACACCCTTAAATTTCGTCTTAACATTCCATCCCCCTCCCAAACACATTCCATTCCTCATAAACACATCTTTTCCCTCATAAACAAACAACCCCCACAAACACATCCCCTCCTCACAATCTAAAAATCATATCCCTTACCTTACAAACGCAGCCATCCCCCTCCGTGGGGGATGTGTTCTTAAGAAACACATCCCCTCCCTACTATACACATCTCCTCCCTCACAAATATATTTCTTCCCCTCACAAATATATATTTTTCCCCTTACAGATACATTTCTACTCTTCACAACACATCCCCTCCCCCCACATGTTAGTTGACGGCTGGCTGGCTGGCTGGCTGGCTGACTGGCAGGTTGGCAGGCTGGCTGGCTGGCAGGTTGGCAGGCTTTGCTGGCTGGCAGGCTGGCAGGCAGGCAGGCAGGCAGGCAGGCTGGCAGGCAGGCTGGCTGGCTGGCTGGCTGGCTGGCTGGCTGGCTGGCTGGCTGGCTGGCAGGCAGGCAGGCAGGCAGGCAGGCAGGCAGGCAGGCAGTTAGTTCGACCTTATTGGGGCTGTCAAACATGAATAAGGGTTCACACGCGTCCTGGAAATTCAGAAGGGTCATTTAATTTTAATCGAACATAACCGACCAGAAATACTTGAACAAAATTATTATATTTCAAGTAATAATGCTCTAGGTGTGATGGGAATGAGGTCTTTCACTCCAGATATTACAGGTCTTTCAGTGAGCCTTCAGATAAAAATTCAAGACACCTGTTCTGTTAACTGTTTTGTAACTTAGCCTTTTTTGTCAAAGGTGGGGAGCGCCAGCCCTAGCACTCTGTATATGTGTATTCTGTATTATAAATATTACAATTCTTAGCCTAAGTACATGATCATTTATGTAGCTACCCTAGACTATATGCAGACTTGTATAGTCAATAGCTGTATCAATAGCTGTGTCAATATGTGTCAGTAGCTGTGACACAGACACCCCCATCTCGCTGGATGGTTAGTCATACAAATTCATGTCAGCAGCCAACCCGTTCTCGCAAATTTAATAAGTCAATATTGACTTATTAAATATGTGCATAGGTGACATACTTAACATAATAGATACCCTTAAAAAGGTTCATAGAAAACACCGACCTTACCTAACCTTGTTAATATCTTAAGATAAGCATCGTATTGCTTCGTAATTACAATTATTACCTAACCTATAATAGGTATAAGTTAAGTAATAATTGTAATTACGAAGCAATAAGATGCTTATCTTAAGATACTAACAAGGTTAGGTTAGGTCGGTGTTTTCTATGAATCTTTTTAAGGGTATCTATTATGTTTAGTATATCACCTATGCACGTAGTTCATAAGTCAATATTGACTTATTAAATTTGCGAGAACGGGTTGCAGCAGCAGCCAATCCTGGCAAACTATTCCAGTTCGCAAGAACATTGAAGAAGATCAGGTAATTGCGAAGCTGAAGGTATCTCACCCCGGTAGGTCTGGAAGGAATAATGACTGGACATTTGACACTGGAGTGTGCTAGATCATGACCCAGTTCCTGCTCACATAGATTGCACCTGGGGTGCTCGGGGTTGGGAAGCTCGTTACCTGGAGCCACCTGTCACAGGTAAGGGTAGTCCAACCTCATCCTGGCAACCACACTGTCGCACAGTTTGGTGGACGTTTTTTTGCTGCCCATAAACAGATCTGAACAAATCATAACTTGTTACATTGGTGCTTTCAGGTCGTTGGGAGTCAGAAATTTCTCTCTTATCGGACCTGAGTGTATGGAACAATGTAGTCTTGATAACAGAAATAGGGATAAATAGGTCTAATGAATCTTCATCTTTGTTACACGCTAATTTGGCTGGGAGCCGGCCGGCCGAGCGGATAGCACGCGGGACTTGTGATCCTGGGTTTGATCCCAGGCGCCGGCGAGAAACAATGGGCAGAGTTTCTTTCACCCTATGCCCCTGTTACCTAGAAGTAAAATAGGTACCTGGGTGTTAGTCAGCTGTCACGGGCTGCTTCCTGGAGGTGGAGGCCTGGTCGAGGACCGGGCCGCGGGGACACTAAAAGCTCCGAAATCATCTCAAGATAACCTCAAGATATATCCATACAAAGGAGATTCGAAACCCTTTACTTGTGCACCGATTAAATAATTTATAATGGCTAGTATGAGGTTTTTGCTGTCGATCTTCCAGCAGAAGTTTTCAATTGCTTGAAGAGCAGACTTTGAATCACAAAATAATATTCCTCCTCCTATGTTTCATAATGTACTGGTAGCTAGTTGTGGTGCAGCTAGGTCTGTTTGTGTGGGTCAGCCCATTGTTTAACCCGACACTGACAGTCTGTATGCAAATATTATTTCTATAAATCCTACATTCTGCTGCAGTCCGTCCAGTAGACGATTGAAATGAGCCGTCGGAGTAGACACAGTGCTCGTGAGATCTTAAATATTCGACGGAGGAGGCAACTGTGAGACAGAGAGCTTTTTTTTTTTTTTTTTTTTTTTATTAAGTTATGAGGTACATCTGCATTAGTGCAGCTACCCTAGACTATATGAAGTGGAGTACAGTGTGTCAAAAAAAGCTAACTAGGTGATGCTATAAAATCCCCATCACACAGGATGGTTAGTCATACAGAGACATGTGATAGGCGGTCTGCACTGGCAGACTCCGGATGCATTTTGAGGATATCAACAACACAAGATTGAATAAGGTAGCAGTGGTAATACAAGTCCCCATCTCGCAGGATGGTTAGTCATACAGGGCCATGTGTTTAATAGCCTGCACTGGCAAATTTTGGGTATACTGTGAGGATATCTTCAAGAATACGAGAGTGAATAAAGTAATTGCAAAGCTCCAGGTACCTCATGCCAACTGGTCTGAAAGGTCTAATAACTGAGCATTCAGTGATGTAGTGCGGGAGATCATGCCGTAGTTCCTGCTCACAGAGTTTGCAACTGGAGTGCTCAGGATTGGGAGACCCGTCACCTGCAGCCACCTGCCACAGGTAACGGTAACCCAACCTGATCCTTGCAACCACAGTGTCGCACAGTCTAGTGGACGTTTTGTGCTGTCCATAGATGTAGGTTTCAGATCTGAACAAATCATAGCTTTTTATACTAGTACTTTCAGGTCGTTGGGAGTCAGTAAGTTCTTTCCTATCAGATCTGAATGTTTGGACCAATACAGTTTTGACAGCAGAGATGGGGATACCTAGATCTAATTCAACTTCAAACTTGTTACACGCTAATTTGGCTGCAATGTCTGTCTCATTATGATGGGTTATATTTATGTGTGAAGGTATCCATACAAAGGAGATTCGAGACCCTTTACTCTGTGCATCAATTAGGTCATTTATAATTGGGAGTATTAGGTTCTTGCTGTCGATCTTCCAAGAGAAGTTTTCGATTGCTTGAAGAGCAGACTTTGAATCGCAGAATATTATTCCTCCTCCAATATTTTTTAATGTGCTGGTTGCTAAATGTAATGCTGCTAGTTCTGCTTGTGTGGAGGTCAGCCAGTTGTTTAACCTGACACTGACAGACTTTGTGCAGATATTATTTCTATAAAACCTACATGCCGCTGCAGTCCGTCCAGTAGAAGACTGGACTGAGCCGTCGGTGTAGACACAGTGCTCGTGAGATCTTAGACTCTCGATGGAGGAGGCAATTGTTTCAAGAGTGACAGCTTTGAGTAGAGCAAGATTCTCATTATCTTTCTTGGTGACAGGTGTGTATGATACTTGAATGGTGAGGTACAGATAAAGAGGAATATCAGAGACTGGTAGATTGCACTTAAAAGGAATGTTAAGTTTAATGAGATTGTAAGCATTGTTTCTCAGCCAATTATCATAAAAGGAGTGAGTTGGTATGTCGGCACCAGTCAAAAGGGTGTTAACAGCACTAAATAATTTGTCTCTGAGCAATGCAGGAGATGTAGGATCTCTCATGACTTTAAGACAGAAGGTAGTGTTAACTTGCATTATTCTCTCTAGTATGGTTGGAAACTTCAGTTCTTCCCTCATGTTGATGATTCTTGTGCATCTTGGGGCACCAAGAATCATCCTCATGGCCTCGTTCTGTATTACTTCAAGTTTGTCCAACACAGAGGAGGGGAAATTAATTAAGTGCAGAGCATTATAATCAACGAGAGATCTAACAAACATCATATAGAATAGTCTAGCATATTTAATATTGATACCAATATTCTTACCAGTAAGTGTTCTCAATGGTTTTAGTCTTTCTTTTAACCTACGGTGTAGATCATTTACAATGTCACTGTTAATACCAACTCCAAGGTATTTGTGCTGCCCACACGTTTCAATGTTCTGGCTGTTG